CTGTAAATAGCATAATGGGCACAAGGGAGCCACGGCAGGGGGAGACTGGGGTGGCTTCAGCTGCTGCTCGACACGGGCATCAATATCCTCAGCGGCAGAGCCAAGCACTGCGGCCACACATGCTGCAGAGAGATGCTGCTCACTTGGCCCCTGCAGCCAGAGCCTGGGTTTGGTGGGTTTTGCTGTCAGAGATTGCAGCCTCCGGCTGTAGCCTTCACTGGGCAGGATCTGGACACAGGTTGAGGGAGCAGTACAACAGGGATGTCCTTTTGGATCAAAGGCATCTGCTCCGCTCCCTGTGCTGGTCCCCGTGCGCTGGGCTGGTCCCTGCTGTCTCTTGTGGAACCTGCGACTCCTGCCTGGCCTCATTTGAGCTTGAAGGGTTGGTGATGGGCAGCATCTAAGGGAGCGAAGTGGTATGTAGTGATGGGGACTTCCTGAGGTTCCCTGTGCCATCTGCATCAGCTGGCTCTTGCTGTGGGAGCGGCACTGCAGTGGGCTTTGTGCTCCAGGGACTTTTCCAGCCTTTTGGATACTCTCTGTTTACTGGGACTGGGGAACACTAGCAAATTCAGCCTTTACCACTGAAATCAGAGCTGTGTATATGCAGGCAGGGATGGAGGGCAAGGCTGATGCCCTCTATTAAGCCCTGGCTCCTGTTAAGGGCTGTGTTGCAGGGAGCAGAGGCACAGAGAGCAGCACTGCAGTGGCAGGGCCCAGCTCAGGCGCCCTTTGCAGAGCTATCAATTGGGGATGACAGTAATGGGAAATGGGATTAGTGCAGGCTGCTGACATGGGATCATTTCCACCCATGGAGGAGGATTTCTCCTTCCAGGACTCTGAGACACTTCACGCCCAGGTTTTTTGGGTGGTATGAACTTTCCTGCTGGTTGGGTTTCTACACCCGCACTTGCTTTTGCTGTTACACTAATTGCTCTGGACCAATTATTCATCAATTCAGTAATGAAGCAGGGAATGAATACAAACCTGCTGTGCAGTGAGCCCTGGGCTCCACCATGGCTCAAAGAGGGCAGGAGCGGAGTTGCTCGGGGGAATTCTACTTGTGAGGACTTTCAAATGACTCCCATGAGGATTTTCTCAAGTTTCAGTAGTTCTGTTTTGAGTTTCTGGCTTCTTTTTCTTCCTCTCAGCCCTGTGCTGTGTATTAGATGCCTCTTCCTCTAGCCATGTCCTTCATGGTCACTTGAGGTTGTCATCACCAATGGTTTTGGTAGAGTGTCAGAGATCCTGTTAGAAATTTCTGATCTGATGGGTCTGGGCACAATTTACCCATGTTAAGAGATGAAATGGTAATATTTTTCTTCTACTTCAGCAAAAACCTATTTGGAAACACCGATGTTTCTCTGGCCGATGTACGTGCTGTTTTCCCCACATCCCATCTGCCCAGGAAGGGATGTTACTTCCACACGGGGAACACACTGCCAGCAGCAAAGCTGGCTGCATCCTTCCCAAAATCCCCCCAGAGAGAGACTTGGTCTCAATCCCATGGAGTTAAATACATTTGGGGAGAGGTGAGGCACCTTTGAGCGAACATAGATTGAAGGGCAGCAGGACCAGAGAGGTTCCTTCATGGGACACACAGAGGATGGGGCTGTCATGGTCTGAGAGCATGCATGAGAGCAGCTCCGCCAGCAGTGTCTTGGGAGGTCCATTGGCTTCTCCTGGCGTGAGAGCACAGTCGTAGCAGCACATCCTTTGCTCTCCTGTTCACCTTGATTTCCAACAGTCTGTTACCTGCAGGGACTTTCCTGCTTTTTCCAATCCGTGATTGCTCCATCCCTGGCAGTGTTCAAGGCCAGGTTGGACAGAGGGGCTTGGAGCAACCTGCTCTAGTGGAAGGTGTCCCTGCCCATGGCAGGGGGCTGGAACTGGAGGAGCTTTAAGGTCCCTTCAACCCAAACCATGCTGGGATTCTCTGATTGAGGCTGAGGAGTTGCCTGGGGCAGGGCAGTGCTCCAAGGCATGCTTAGCCTCCTCTTCCCCAGTATTACTGCAAGATGAAGATGTGCATTGCACCTGAGCATCTGCATCAGCAGCCAGGAAAGGCTGAATTCCATTTTCTTGTATCTGGGTGTTACTTGGGCCACATGGCTCCATGACTGCAAGGAGCAGAGGTCTTGAAATATGAAGCTGAGAGCTCAAAAACATCCCTGACCTTGCCAAACTGGGGATTTAAGGGAATGCCATGTATCACAGCACCCCTGGCAGCATCAGGGGAAGCCAGCGCAGGCCAGCTCACAGCTGGGCTGTTTCTGGGGATGGTGTTTTCCCAGCTGGAAGTCCTGGCTGCAGGGCACCAGAAAGGGCTTGTTATTCAGAGAAATGCTGTAGAAGTTGAGACCACACTGACAAACCCACATCTGTTCACTGGAATTTGCTCTCCTGGCAAACTAGAAGAGTTCTAGGAAACCCTGACCATACTACAGCCTGAGAACAGAGGGTTTTCAGTTATCCTTTCCAGTCTTGCTTTCAAGAAAGCTTTTGAGTTAGTGAGTGGTGCCCAAAGTCAGAGGGTGTCCAGGCAGAGGGTTGCATGTGTAGAGATTGAGGATGCTGAAACAGGCAGGGCAACGTTTGGCATTTTGGGGGTGTGTTGAGGCTTGTTCAATATTAGGGACTCTGTTGCTGTTGCTCTAATCTCATACTTATCATCTTCCCTACCTAAAATCACCCTGAACGCCATCCTGATCTTGGAGGCAGCTTGTTATCGCTCTTCTGCTTTCTCTTCCCTTTCTTGGGACATGCTCACTTTGCCACTTGCTGTGAGATATGAGATAGAAACGTGTGAGTTCCTCCAGAGGGGATGTAGGAAAGCCCTCAGGCCTTCCCCTTCAGGACAGGGAAACCCAGATGTTGAGAATGGGAAGACCAACACATTGAGGGCAGAGGGACCCAGATGCTGAGGATGGGAAGATGCAGATGCTGAGAACAGGGAAACCTGTATATTGAGGGTAGGGGCACCCAAATTTTGAGAACAGTGAGACAAAGATGTTGAGGATGGAGAGATCCAGATATTGGCCACTGGCTCCTGAACTGGCTCCTGAACTGGCCAAGGACCCAGGCTGTAGTGAGACCATAGCATATTTTGGATGAGTCCTTGAGGTGAAAGGACAGCACCTCCCTGCTGAGACAGCATCAGCACTGCCTCCATCCACTGCCTCCTCCTGCAGCCCCTTGGCTGCAATGATGGTGAGAACGAGACCTGGTCACATCCCTGTCCTTGCTGGCCCAAATCAGCTTTGTGCAACCTTGCCTTTGTGGAGATGAAGTCCCTTGTGCCTCCAGCCATGATCAGGCTTGTTGGCTGGCTGTGATGGCATTACTGCTGCATTCCACCCCTGTCTTTCACCCATCACTATCAAATTTAGCAGAGCTCAGCCACAGCCCTTCCTGCAAGGACAGGATTTCACTGCCCCCTTGATGCTTCTAACCCAGGATGGAAACCTCACTCGGTGGTGAGGCTCCTTTTCATACCTTCCGTGCCACTGAAGAGCAGCAGAGCTTCTGATTGAATTAGTGCAGGGATTTAATTTAATCCCTGAATGTCTCTCATTTTAAAGGAGGCTGTTCATTTCCTTCTAGGGCCTTATCTGATGCGGGCAACCAGCAATATTAAGCAGAAGGACTGAGCAGATAGGGAGCTATTTGGGAGGGGAAGGGCTTTGGGCGCATGAGCTGAGGGCTGTGTGGGTTTTTACTCTAATCATTTCATGAAATACTGATGACAGTGATTACAATACAAATAGGACACAAAACAGCATCAGTAAAACTCATGCTGGTGCAAAGAGCATCCTTGCATGGCAGGTCTGGGAGTGTTCCCTTTTTACAAGAGGTTACCATGGGGGGAGTGAAACAGCGCGAAGGATGGGATAAACTGAGCATTTGCTTTGTGCCTCCCACCAAATCCAGCTGTTTGGGGGATAGGGGAGTCATTGCAGGTGGGCCAGAGGACATGATGATCTCTGAATTTTAGTCTTCAGACTCACTGGGCAGTTCAGGTGATGCTAAATTACTGCCTGTGGTGTGTCAGGCTGGAGGGGGACAGAGCAGCTCCTCTCCATGCCCATGGGTGTAGACAGGTAACTTTGGCATCGTAAAAAAGGACAAGGCCACAGACATGCTGCGAGGGCTGGAGCAGCTCTGCTCTGGAGCCAGGCTGAGAGAGCTGGGTTGGGTCAGCTGGAGAAGAGAAGGCTCCTGAAGGGGAGACCTT